AGCACCAGAAACTTTCCACCACCACTTTTCTTATCTTGGCCGCCCGTGTATCATTTATCTTTTAGCTGGCTCCAAAGCCTACCATGCGTTATGCGTAATGGTGGGTGAACGACCAGCTCCCACTGGTTTTTGTTACTATTCTACTCCTGATTTACCTTATCGCTCTTTGCTTCGGGTGCTAGAACAGCTCTTGCCAGGCAAATCACAAAAGAAATAGTCGGCGTGACATTAGAGTACCAGTTAACATTGCCATCTGGATGAACACCGCCGGCACTATCTTCGGAACTTAAGAACGGAGAGAAATAAATCGAAATTCATCAAAGAGCTGCACAATAGTGTGCATCTACACACGAGGCATAACAAAAACTCAAGTGTGAGCAAGCTCAACCACCAGAAGTAGAGTTGTTAAAGCCCAACCAATGTAGACCAAAACGGATTTCACGCCCAAATGCAATTAGCTAAATTTTACTAATTTTCCCATGCTTATTTCTTTATTATTGGTGACAGACTCCTGTAGCTCACTGATGTTAGTGACAGAGCCTCATGAATATAGAAAATTGGCTCTAAGGGATAAATCTTGTGATGTTTAGCCAAGTAATGTGTCTATTTTGCAGGCCGAAATCTGTCAGCCGATCTGCAAGACCCCCTGGTTTACTCAGGTAGACCTGGCTCATGCGGTCTTGTTATAAGCTTTAGAAAAGCTTAGGGACTTAAAAAATGCTAAACTCCATTTTACTGGTTGTTTATGTGGCTCAGTATCCCCTGAAAACTGTATGCCGTGGCCATTTAACCGTGAGTTAATTACAAGCTCCCCTGAATACCCATGTAGATATAATATTCCTTGCCGGATTTCTAGTGTTTTCGTGCAAAACCATCCCTTATTTGCATATATTTATCATGTATGTCTACAAAGTTTACTTTTCGGCCACCTGCGCAGCCCGTAGTTGTCGCAGGTATTACGGGCTAATTAGAGCATTTCTGGATAGCCATGCCCATCTAGATAATATGCCGCTTCCCTACTTTTTAATGATTTTCTTTTCTTTTTTCTGTTATCTGCTTGCAAAGCAGAAAGCCATTTTTAGCGAAAAATAAAAATGGCCTTATTCGTAGACCATCATTTAATTGCGAATAACTCGCAAACTACTGCACGCATTGTGTTGCTTTTAAGTTCAACGTATTCAGGCGCTAAAGCTGGTCCAGATCAGTGCAATTTTGTGCTACTTTAGGCGGTATTGTAACTGTAGAAGGGCAATTTCTTTTATCTGAGAATAACTCAGGTTAAAATTTCGCGCCGGAGAGCAATATCAGCGTAAGAAAAGTAGGGCTCTATTTTTTTGTTAATTGGTCTTTTTCTACTAAAGCGCGCGGATTTATTTACTCTCTTAACAAATTGTTTTTATTCTTGCCTGCATTTATCGAAATTTTTTTTAAACTTTTTGTATGCCTTATAATCCCTTCACTCATTTCTTCCATGTGCGCAACAACAATTGGGGCAACTGAGTGGCCAATTAATGTGCGATCAATTTAAAGTGAACTTTCGGCGAAATGGATTCTGTTCCAAGGAGAAAAGGCACAACTCCGCGAAGTTTTTCACAATAAAAGAACAAGGAGCTCAAGATCGCCCGAAGGAACCAGAAAACGTCAAGGTGGGCGCCTGATACCCAGTAGCTGTATACCAAACAGTGCCAATGCATTTGGAATTTCTAACGATGAACATATATTTATATTTTGCCTACTTCCATGCAAGAGCATCGGATTAATGTAAGCCTTGATCTGAACCCTTTAGGGTGCAGCCTCTAGCAGGTCTAGAAATATACCTATTTAATTATTTATTTATTTAAATAGTAGACGCTACCGCAAAGGCAACCTGGAAACACTAATCGGTAGCCCAAATCCTTTGAAAGCTCCTTCTCGACGCCCAGTTTCTTACTGCTCAACAGATCAGCACGTAAAGCAGCCTAGTACTATTGAATGGGAGCATCGTAAGCCTGTAGGCACTGACCAGGTAGGATATTGCATAGCAATGGGGAAGCAATCCGAACGGAAAAACTTTACTTCACTTCTCCCATCTTTTCTACACTTTGGTTCCTTCGTCTATATCTTTACCCCCTTAGTATTTTCCAAATACCTAGTCCACTAGGTATCTTACGAATACTTATGCTTGTGACCCATGAGTCACGTCTACTAAAA